CCTGGCACGAGGGCTCAGGGCAATGAGGCAATGAGGAACTATCCTTGTGTTTGACTGTGTTTGCGCGTGCATGAGCGTGAGTCTGCTTTTGCTTGAAAAGCGAGAGCGAGAGCGAGACGCTTACCAATGCCATCACAGGTCGGAGCACGTCGTTTACTGAAGAGGTTCAAGTACAATGCCTGCGTGCACACCTGCAAAAGCCCACCCTGGACGCTGCCACGAGCCCCAAGTCCCAAGTATGCTCAACTATAGATGGCTCTGAGCAGCTGTGGCAGAACCGACGTCTTACCAAGGAACATAAGCTAAACTTAACCATATATTCGACAAGAATCCCTTCCAAATCCTAGTCTCCCCAGGTCCCACTGGCTACAGTATGGGCCATGAAAAAATAGAGCCCCAACCAGCAGCTGATACTCTGCCACTTTCAGCACGTGCACACACACACACAGATACAAGGTCCTCATCCGGAACCGGCGATGACTTTCCGGCCTCTGCCATGCTAAAAATCAGGCTTACAGTCAGGGCTTTTTGGGGTTTAGATGGGCTTGGGGATGGAATCAGTGGCTGCAAGCCCCCGCACCCCGGCCGAGTGGGAAGCCTAGGCCCACGTAAGCCTGGAACCTTGATCAAAACCTAAAACCCTGATCCCACTTGAGGACAGAGGTACACTGATTGAGTGTGCGGGGGGCGGTGCCGGCGAATGATGACGGAGGAGGTTTCTGGCGGGCAAAAGAATGGTTCCGTTCCGTGCTGTGCCCCCCAACGACATCCCTTTCTCCCAGGGAGGTATGGATGGAGATGGGGGGGTTGGAGGGAGACGGGCGGATGAACCATCCCCTAAGGAGGTAGAACCCTCGAACATCCCCGAACCACAACCCCTTCGCAAAGCCGGGAAGGCCCGCACCGGCACATAGCACATACCAGCACTAGCTGAGGGCTTCGCCTTCTTGGATGCTGCCTTCGCCGCGGGCGCATCTCCCTCATCCAATGGATCAACATACCTTAGCTCTGATTGACACACCTTGGCACCTTGGCGCCTTTTTGCAGACGCCACGACGAGTAGTAACATGGGCGAAGCCTTACAAGGAGAAGCCATATAGGGCGAAAGCTGCATCGCCTTTGTTGATGCACGTAGCTACGACGACAAAACTACGCGACTGTGCAGGGCAACTATCAACTGTCAAGTTCAGGAGAGAAGCTTGGATTGGAGTCCTCCCAAAGCGAAGCTCAAACCCCAACACTCCATGTGCCAAGACAGCCTAGGCACGTCTGGCGCAGATCGCCGAAGTTCACCGGCCTGTGCATGCAACGGACGTGGAACCCGCAGCCCTGATGCTTTGGTATTTTCTTGGAGTTTGGAGTCACTCAAGCCTGTTTTAGCTGCTGCCTTTTGCACGGTGCACGGTGCACAACTGCGAGTTAGAAGACCTGCTCTCGTAGCATTCATCGTGCCTGGCTTCCATGATCCGTGCCGAAAGCCCTGCAGCTCCCCCGTCGGAGTCAACACGAACACTAACAGCTTGAATGGGATCAGGGCCTATTCCCTGTCTCGCGGCCTCCGCAGAATCTCTTCCGGATCTTCCAAGCCCCTTCGCTCCTGCGTCAACTTGAAACCGGGATGTCTGAGGACTCAGATGCATTCGGTTCCTCTAGTCAACTGCAGGCGAGAACCTGCAAGTGTGAGGGAGAGATACTCTTTTGGGGCTTAGGAGCCCTCAGTGGCTCAGACGGGCATTCAGTTCTTCCACCAGAGACTGTGGCAGATCCACCCTGCGCGCAAGAGGCTCAGGAGACCGATTTCGGGGGCACCTTGTACATCGTTACGCGGAAACGCCTTCCGACTTCTGCAGGCACGACGGCCTGCCAGTTCGCAGCGCTAAAGCCCGCTTCGAAACCCCAGATACTGGATAACCGGGTAGCACGTGCCTAGACAGAGCAAAAAGATTCTGCAAAAAGCCCGCGAAGTCTAGGCACAAGATGAACTGAGCGCCCTCATCGCGCCCGAACCCTCAAATCCGAGTTGATCTCAACTCGCCTGTGCCTTAAGACAATCCGTTCACGACTGTTCAAGTCATGTCACTTGCCCCCTCGGTTGGTCTGGATGGGCTTGCGCATCCGACTGGCCCTACAAAGGCCGGAACGCATTGGCCCTTTAGGCCCAATCATGAGACCCCTGCGTGAAGCAGCCTTCTCTGCATCAACGAGGCGGACCACGGTCTCCGGCAGAGCCTGTCGGACACGTGGTTTGGAGCAGCTGTTGAGCGCTCATTTCCCCTAGGCTTCCTCTTGGTTCCCCCTGCCCTGCCTGGCCCTTTTGGCCCTTGAGCTCTGGCCCGGCACCCGTGGTATCCACCGGTGGGGGCGGCTTGCCCTGGCAGCACAGATGGATGAAAGGGGGTGTCGGCATAACATCGTCTGCTTTGCATTTGCTTTGTTAATTGGTTGGTTTCTCTCTCTCTCTCTCTCTCGCTCTCCCTCTCGCCTCGAAAGCGAAAGGAGCGCGACTTCTCACAGGCAAGCGCCGCGGCCGCTCTCGAGGGGGCGGAATTGCTGCACTCATTTGGCTGTGCAAAAGAGGCGGCGCTCTCCCCTCACTGCCCCTCACTGCTCTCAGCGCCCCTCTGCCTCCACAATGTCCCTGCGTCTTTTCAGAGACACCCCCTGACCTCCGCTTCAAAGCACCCTCCCCCAACCACCTTCAGAGGAATCCCCGTGCTAGGTCCGGCATCGCCGGACATGGTCCAGGGCGGAGCCCTCGTCGCTCGCTACAGGGGCACGCCGCTGCCGCTGACCCCCCCCCCCGCCGATTCTTGATCAATTCGTCCGTGGGCATCGGGAGGTCTCTTTATCTTTTTCTCTTTTTCTCTCTTTCTCTCTTTCTCTCTTTCGCTCTTGGGCGCAGCTCCTTAAATACAGAGTACTTTCAATTGCGTGCTGTGGTTTAGTCACCCATGGCCACAGAGCTAAACCTTTAAGGGGTTTAACGTGTCGACATTTTCGGCTGCTAGACCTGCGTTTTTGACATCGCTAAAGCTTGTCGTTCGGGGGTCCTAAAAACCGCAGCTGTTGAGACCTTTGCAACTCATGAAGCACTGAGTATCCTGTCCTTCTTCTTGTCCTTGGGGTTGGCAGCAGCCAGCTGGTTGGCTGCCTGGTCATAAAGGGCTCAAGCGCGCCCCCTGGGTGGCCACAACGCTGATAAGGAGTGTTGCAATGCTATGCAAATACAGGTTATTCCTTTGGGGACAGCGTTTTGGCAATTGATGTAGATTATCTTGATGATATCGGGCGACTTGCACATTCTGTGTAGATACTATGCAAGATGCTGTGAAAATGCGACATGCTGCAAGTGCATTGGTACACACACACACACACCCGCCCATTAGCTGCAGAATCACACGCCAAGCTGAATCGCGAGCGATGTCCCAAAAGACTTCCTTCGCTTGCTTTCGTTCGAACGCTGCCACTGACATGCTCACACATCAAAACGCGCAAACACACACAGAGTCTCTACTATGCATCATATGCTAGAAGAGGGCGAAGTGGCAGAGTTCGTCGGCCCCACAGCCCCGGCTTTCCCGAACAACCGAAAGCCCTGCTGCAAAGGAGGGTTCAACAAGAAAATCCATTCTCATCTTTATTGTTCCCACCCAGAGGAGACCTCACTTTGACTTCGGCAACGAGCACAAATATCATGATTATGATGCCCGCCCGCACCACCCCAAGACCACAAAAGAACCGAAGTCTCTACGCCGGCCGACTACGATGAGTACGATGGCTTTGCGTTGGACCGGTCACTCCAGACGTCAAACCCAAAGAGCCTCTTCCTTGAGAAGCTGGGCCACTGCCAGGTAAGACTCCTGCGGCACAGCAGTCTAAAGCTGAGTAGCATCGGAATGGGGTTACTTATTGCAGAAGAACCGGCGACCAGAGAGCACGAGAAGACAACGTGTCTCTGTGTGTGTGTGTGTGTGTCTGTCTGTGCCCGTGTGTGCGTGTTTTTGTGCGTGTGCGCGTGCGTGTGCGTGTGCGCATGCGTGCGTGCGTGCGTGCGTGCGCGCGCGCGTGGGTGTGTGTGTGTGTGTGTGTGTGTGTGTGTGTGTGTGTGTGTGTGTGTGTGTGTGTGTGTGTGTGTGTGTGTGTGTGTGTGTGTGTGTGTGTGTGGGTGTGTGTGTGTGTGTGTGTGTGTGTGTGTGTGTGTGTGTGTGTGTGTGTGTGTGTGTGTGTGTGTGTGTGTGTGTGTGTGTGTGGTGTGTGTGTGTGTGTGTGTGTGTGTGTGTGTGTGTGTGTGTGTGTGTGTGTGTGTGTGTGTGTGTGTGTGTGTGTGTGTGTGTGTGTGTGTGTGTGTGTGTGTGTGTGTGTGTGTGTGTGTGTGAGTGTGTGTGTGTGTGTGTGTGTGTGTGTGTGTGTGTGTGTTGTGTGTGTGTGTGTGTGGTGTGTGTGTGTGTGTGTGTGTGTGTGTGTGTGTGTGTGTTGTGTGTGTGTGTGTGTGTGGTGTGTGTGTGTGTTCGTTGTGTGTGTGTGTGTGTGTGTGTGTGTGTGTGTGTGTGTTTGTGTGTGGTGTGTGTGTGTGGTGTGTGTGTGTTGTGTGTGTGTGGTGTGTGTTGTGTGTGTGTGTGTGTGTGTGTGTGTTGTCGTGTGTGTGTGTGTGTGTGTGTGTGTGTGTGTGTGGGTGTGTGTGTGTGTGTGTGTGTGTGGGTGTGTGTGTGTGTGTGTGTGGTGTGGGTGTGTGTGTTGTGTGTGTGTGTGTGTTTGTGTGGTGTGTGTTTTGTGTTGTGTGTTGTGTGTTGTGTGTTGTGTGTTGTGTGTTGTGTGTTGTGTGTTGTGTGTTGTGTGTTGGGTTGTGTGTGTGTGTGTGTGTTGTGTGTTGTGTGTGTGTGTGTGTGTGTGTGTGTGTGTGTGTGTGTGTGTTGTGGTGTGTGTGTGTGTGTGTGCGTGTGTGTGTGTGTGTGTGTTGTGTGTGTGTGTGTGTGTGTGTTGTGTGTGTGTGTGTGTGTGTG